GTCATGATCAGTTATGAAATCCAGGGAAGTTTCAGCAAGGTGCTTCGGGAGTCCTCAAGCCAAAATTGCCTATCAGGTGAGTCCTGTGTCTTATAGGAATGGACTCGGTTTAGTATTTCTGCTGCACTTAATCATTGGCTGGTAGCAGCCTGTGGGAAGCATGGCTTCAGAATAAAGATAATGGATTTCAAAGGACAGACCTGAGACTCTGGTCTATTATGTTCTCTGTAGTTAAAGGTCTACAAGAAACATTCTCAAGGCCACTTCTGTAGTTAAAATAAAGTAAAGGAGGATTTCACGGAGCATGGGTGATGGAAGTGTTGGGAGAAAATTAAAGCTTGAATCCCAGCAAGCTCAGACTAATCAATAAAGTAATTATATCAGACAGAGGTTGATAAATGATTCTGGGTCTAGGACATGGCTGAGGCGGGCTTGCACTGCCATGAGGCCCAGTGGCAGCCATGACCTGTACAAGGAGAAGACTGAAAACTGGAATCTTTAAAATGACCTAGGATGCAGGCATTCTCAATTTTAAATAGTTCTAATGGAAATAATTTTGTGGTTTTGTTATTTGTGCATTTACTTTGTTTTATGGATTATTTTATTTTTCCTCAGGGTTACTGATTTTGTAAAAGAGATATTCTTTAACCAAATGCATTTGCAATAATACTCTGCTGGTGGGACTGCAAACTAGTTCAATCTCTGTAGAAAGCAATATGGAAATACCTTAAAGCAATACAAGTAGATCTACCATTTGATCCAGCAATCCCATTATTGAGCATCTACCCAAAAGACCAAAAGCACTCTATAAAAAAGACATCTGCACTCAAATGTTTATAGCAGCACAATTCACAATTGCAAAGATGTGGAAATGACCAAAGTGAACATCAATACATGAGAAGATTGATAAAAAGTGGTAGATGTATACCATGGAGTACTATTCAGCTATAAGAAATAATGGTGATATAGCACCTCTTGTATTTTCCTGAATAGAGCTGGAACACATTCTACTAAGTGAAGTATTCCAAGAATGGAAAAATAAGCACCACATGTACTCACCAGATAATTGGTATTAACTGATCAACACCTAAGTGGACATATAAGAATAACATTTATAGGGCATTGAGCAGATGGGAGGAGGAGGGGGGGATGGGTATATACATACATAAACATTTTGTACACCTAAACAGTTGTACTCCCATAATATGCTAAAATTAAAACAAAAAAGCTTTTAAAATTGTTGCTTATCTAATTTTACATGAATTTTAGGATTGTTTTTCTGTGTCTGTGGAAAATGACATTGGAATTTTGAGAGGAATTGCATTGGATCTGTAGATTGCTTTGAGTGATATGAACATTTCAACAACAAAAATAAACTTTTATTGAGAACATTATCATAAGTTTCAAAAGTGTATAAAATAATATAATGAACCCACTATATTCATCACCATCTTCAATGATTTTTAATATACTTTTTTTCATTGACATCCTTCCAATTTTAGTCCCCATGGATTATTTTGAGGCACATCAAAGACAGCACATATTTTACTGTGAGAAATACTTACACGTATTCTTCTAAAATGATAGGTAGATTTTTATTAGTTCCCTAACTATTAATATATGAAATTTGTGCATACATTTTCTGTTTCATGGTCACTCTGAAAACTTAGAAAGGCAGAACAAATTATTGACACTACTGAAATCTAATCTAGTTTTGATTGATTTACTGATTCTAATTAACTGAGTACTTTATAGCAGAGAATTTTAAATGCTAATTAAGAGCATAACTTTAAGAGTTAGACAGGTTTGAGTCCAAATCTTATCTCTAACACTTTCTATCTAAATAAAGCTGTTATCCACTGACTTTCTATATCTTCATCTATATAGTAAAACTAACTTTACTTACCTAATAATTTGATTGTCAGTATTAACTATGTTGTATATAAATGTGTTTAGAACAATGATAGCACCATGTGTGGTAGCTAATGCTATTATTTCCCTACTGCAATATATTGAAGTAACAATGTGAGATGCTAAGGAGAGAGAAAAGGAAATCCTCATGAGAAACTGATTAGGTTAAAATAAGAGTTTTCTAAAAAACAATATAGTTAAGATAGAGTAATGTTTTCTAGCAGTCTAGGCAGTAGAAATCTTTTCTTGGTGGTCAGAAGTCTCAGCAGTTCCCTTCCAAGATACTTTCCAAAATTTATATTTTCTGCTTAGTGTAGTTCATCGCCATTAGTTATCCAGTCTAAGATATTTATCATGTCAGTAAGTTATCTTAAGTTTCAAATAGAACATTAAAAATACAATGTTAGGCAATTCCTATCAAATTCAAGCTGGATCTTTTGCAGAAATTAACAGGCTAATTCAAAAATTTTTGTGGAAATGTAAGGGATGCAGAATAACCAAAACAATTTTGAAAAAAAACAAAGTTGGAGGATTCACACCTCGGATGTATTATAGCTCAATGAAATAAAATTGTGTGTCTAGAGAGAAACCCTCTCATTTAAGGTCACTTAATTTTGAACAAGGCTCCCAAGATTTTTCAATTGGGAAGGAATAGGCTTGTCAACAAATGGTGCTGGCAAAAATGGATATCCACATACAAAAGGATAAAATGGAAACCTTACCTCACACCATATACAAAAATTACATCAAAATGAATCAAAAATTTAAGAGTTAAAGCATAAGACTTTTAGGAAAAAATATAGAAGTGAATCTTCATGATCATGGGTTTGGCAATGATTCCTTAGAAATCACTTAGAAAAAAATGCTTAGAAAAATAAATAAATTGGACATCATTGAAATTAGACACTTTCCTACTGTAATGGACACTGTCAAGAAAGTAAAAAACTAAGCCACGGATTGAAGGAAAATATTTGCAAATATGTATCCGATAATAGACTTCTAACAACAAAAAAAGAATTTTTACAACTTCTTAATAAAAGAAAATAACCAAACTGGAAAATAGGCAAAAGATTTCAATAGCTATTTCTCAAAATAAAAAATAAAAATGGCCAATAAGCATTTGACTAATGATGTTGAAGAAAATACGGTTAACACCATTAGTCATTAAAGAAATGCAAATCAAAACCACAATGAGATGCTACTTCATACCCACTAGGATGGCTATAATAAAAAAGACCAAAAAAAAGTGTGTGTAAGGGTGGGAAAGAATTGGAACTTTCCTACATTGATGAGAATGCAGCAACTTTGGAAAACAATGTAGTAGTTCCTCAAAATATTAAAATTAAAATATATATAGTATATAAATATGAATTAAAATTTATATTAAAATATAAATTACCATGTGACCTAGAAATTTCCCTTCTAGGTATACACACAAGAAAATTTAAAACACATATCCACATCAAAGCTTGTGCACAAATGTTCATAGCCACATTATTTATAGTTGTCAAAAAGGTGAAACAACCCAAATATCTACCAAGCAATGAATGGATGAAAAAAATGTATTATATTTCTAGCAATGGAATGTTACTCAATCATACTTAAAAGGAATGGAGTACTAATACTTGAAACATCCTACATAAACTTTGAAAATATTATTTTAAATGAAAGAAGCTAGGTCACAATACAAAAATTATATGATAGCATTTATATGAAATGTCCAGAATGGGCAATATAGAAAGACAAAATATAGACTAGTGTTTGCCTAGCACTTAGGGTGGTATACAGTGTTTATGATTACTACTGGGTGGAGGGTTTAATTTTGGGGTGATGAAAATGTTCTAAAATTAGATTGCAGTAATGGTAGCAAAAAATCTCTGAATATGCTAAGTACCATTCAACTGTACACTTTAAGTGGGTTAATTTTTTGGCATCTGAGTTATATTTCAATGAACCTGTTTCTTAAGCAAACATTTGTAGAATATGAGGAAGCCAGAGGTCTAAGGGATTTGGAAAATATGTTGTATACTGATTAAGGTTATTATTTGGGATTTCTTTAATAAGGATGTCTTATCAAAACATGAAAAGTTCCTGTTAATGCTGACTGGTTGGATTCCAGAGATCAAAAACCACAAGTTGGCTGGAACTCTGGAAGAATTTGCTGAGTAGAGAAGCTCCATTAGCCTGGGCAGTGAGGAACTCCAGATTATTAGGAAGTCAATGTGTTGAGGAAAAGGATTTTAAATTCCTCAGAAAGTCTCTAGCACAGGGGACAGTAAACTTCTTAAAAAAATGACCAGATATTAAATATTTTAGGTTTACGGATCACATGGCCTTTATTGCAACTATTCAACTCTGTCCTTACACTGAAAAAGAGCCAACAGACTGCATGTAAATGAATGGGGGTGGTAGTGTTTCAGTCAAATTTTATTTATAAAATGGGGATGGTTGGATTTGGCCTGCAAACTTCATAATAAAAGAAAATAACCAAACTAGAAAACAGGCAAAAGATTTCAATAGCTATTTCTCAAAATAAGAAATAAAAATGGCCGATAAGCATTTGACTAATGGTGTTGAAGAAAATACGGTTAACACCATTAGTCATTAAAGAAATGCAAATCAAAACCACAATGAGATGCTACTTTATACCTGCTAGGATGGCTATAATGAAAAAAAAAAAAGTGTTGGTATGGATGGGAAAGAATTGGAACCTTCCTACATTGATGAGAATGCAGCAACTTTGGAAAACAATGTAGTAGTTCCTCAAAATATTAAAATTAAAATATATATAGTATATAAATATGACTTAAAATTTATATTAAAATATAAATTACCATGTGACCTAGAAATTTCCCTTCTGGGTATACACACAAGAAAATTTAAAACACATATTCACATCAAAGCTTGTGCACAAATATTCATAGCCACATTATTTATAGTTATCGAAAAGGTGAAACAACAACAGTTTGCTGAGCCATGCTCTAGAGGAAAGCAGGTGTTACAGAGGAAATCTAGGATAAACAAATTTCTCGGTAAATAGAAATGGAAAGTTTGATTTAATTGCTAATATAACACATTTGACTCCTTAGGAAGGTATCTGGTTCATTTGAGGACTCGGAATTTCCAGTCAGCCCAGTATTTGAGAGCAGACCTGGAGAAGAAGATTGGCCTGTTACTACGTAGGCACTCTGAGGAGAGATGCAACTGCTGCATAAAAGGTAATTTATTTTTATTGTTGTTATTATTATGCTTCAGTACAGAGAAAATAAGAGGTCCTAGTGAAAGTCTGCAGAATTTCCTCAAGATGGACTTATTGCTTATCTGACAACAGATTGTCCAAGTATAAAGGATGCCTCTATGGAAAGTTAACTTTAAAATCTCATGGGAGGTATGAAATATTAAAAGCCTTGCCCTGTGGGATTGTTGCATGTTCTTCGGGAGAGAATGCAAGTAATCAAGTAGTAGTAAGATACTGTGAAGATATTGAGACTATTTAGAAACTGTCAGCCAGATAAAAATATTAATGGAAATTTAAAGCAAGAATAATAAGAACGGAGCTAAGATTTTCACTCCAGCGTGTTTCTCCAAAGGTCTTCTGGCAATAAGGAAAAAATTTAGGAACCTGGGGATCTTGGAAGCTGTTACTGGAGCAATGGTAATGAGGATTCATCTTAATGGCACTAGAGGATTGATTCTGCTTTATCTCCTCTCTTTGTTTCCCTTTTCCTTTTTTTTTTTTTTCTGTTTATGCTATTATTTATATGGAGAGTTCATTTATATCATTCCATGTTCAAGGTAAGCTCTGGTATGTGAGATCTTTATCAGTGCTAACTCAGGAAAATCTGTTTATGAGCAGAGTAAGAGCAAAACAAAGAGGGTATCTGATTCCCTATTTGAGATTCCTGATGTCCCTGGTGACAGAAATCTACATGCATTGGTGGGTAGCCTTCGTGTTTCCCATCCCAGACGTGCTTTTAATATCACCATTTCCATTCAGAGTATTCAGTCTTGTTCCTTATTGAATCTAATATTTTTATGTTAGCAGTAGGAGGTGTGAAGCTGAAATGACGTGTTCTGGGTGAATAACTAGCTTTGAGATCATCAAGCCATTGAGGGTGAGATATGAATTTATCTTTTAAATTCAAGATTTAATAAGTAAACATGTGAATAATAACCAGGGACTTTAAGAGAGAGATAACAGCCTGGCAGAGGGCTAAAATTGATACAATTCTCCCTCTGTACTATTCTAAGTCCCACTAGGAAATATGTGTGGCTGCAGTTAAAAAAAACAATCCCCAGGCCTGGTCAGTGACATCTTTTCCTTATTTAGTCAGAGATTCTGTTAATATATTTAATGACAGGCTACATATTCAAGGTAAACCAAGTAATAATGGGGACCCTAAAATTTGCCAAGGAGAGCTGTATATAAAGTTGGTGTGCGAAAAGAAGATGAGTTTAAATTAGCAGAATATGATCCTTAGTGGCTTCAGAGACCAGAAATTCACCTCTACTCCTCAATGGACTCTGCTCCCATTGCCCTTATAGGTTTACTCTAAAAGCTTCCAAAAGTCTAACACTTAGTTTCTGTTCCCATGATATCTTGAGGCTGAAAACTGCAAGAATAGGAAAAACATCAAGGTGAACATCCTCAAACTCCTGAAATCTCTGAGAAAGGAAAATCTTGTAAACTCAATTAAGACTAGGGCTTTTAGGATTGCAAATGAAATTGTGTGGAAGTTCCAAATTACCCCAGTCAGAAATAATTAAAACAGAGAAAGTAATTCTTCATGAATGGGCCTGAAAGCTATAAAGGAGGTATGGCCTCCTATCTCTATTATTTTTATTTTTGCCATCTTGCCTAATCCTTTGCATCCTTATTTAGAAAATTGGGCTGATATTATATTCCTAATATGACTATAGATCAGTTAAAAGGGAACACAATAAGGACTTACTAAATGGTAGCTATTCATATTAACTTATTTCTTACAACTATAAAGGAGACTATGAGAAACTCAAGAGAAAACAGAGATAAAAATAAACTTTCTTTTTCTATTAGTTTACCTGTAAGTGTTTCTTCTTTTACTCAGGAACCACTCTCTTTTTTTGTATGTATTAAAGTTCTGGTGTTAATTGGAAGATTTCATTATACTGATTATACATTTAAGGTAAATCTGGGTGTGGCTACAAGGGAAACAGATCAGTGTAAACAGGTAATGGTCTAAAGTGAGGATAATTTGTTCTAAAGTTGGGGAATGCCATTTCCCTTCTTAAAATCCCCGATGTCTTACTATTGCTACGAGAGTATCAGTGCATTTAGAATAAAATGTTTTTAAAAGAAAAACCTTTATAATTCTTAAACATGGTCTACAAAGCACAGGGGAATCAGGCTTCTGCCATTCTCTCCAATGTCATGTTGTTCCACCCTTGTTTTTTAAATTCTAAAATAATGAGCTTTCTTTGAGTGTCTCCAGTGCTTGAAGATCTGTTATACATTATTCCCATTAAGGAGAATGCTCTTTTCCTGAGCTTTGCATCTGCCTCATCTTCAGCTTAACTATGATTTCTCAAGGATGCAATTCTTTTACCCTTCCCTACTGATTAAAATTGCTTCCTCTTGTTACTTTCTCATTGCATTTTGTTCTTTTCCTCAAATTTAAGATTCTGAGTGTGTGTAGATACGTGTGCATGTGTGTGTTGTTTTAGTTGTTTTCTCTACCTCAGCAGACTGTGAACTTCGTAGGGTAGCATCTATGTCTTTTCATTCTCCACTGTCTGGCTAGTAAAAGGCCTGGCACATATCAGATTTGCAATAAATATTTCTGAAGTGAATGAATGATCAAGTGTGATTGGAATGGCATTCCCTAAAATGAAATTAGATCTGTGCATAGTGTACTCTTCTCTGTGAGAGCAGTGTTACTGATTGGAAAGGTATGTCAGAGAAGCAGAATGGAATAAAAAAATAGGTTAATAAGTTTAAAAGTGTATTTTTTTTTTTTTTTGGAGGCAGAGTTTGCTGTGTCACCCTGGCTAAAGTGCAGTGACATCATCTTAGCTTGCTTCAACCTCAAACTCCAAGGTTCAAGCAATCCTCCTGTCTCAGCCTCATTTGTAGCTGGCACTACAGGCACATGCCACCATGCCTGGCTAATTTTTCTGTTTTTTGTAGAGATGGGGTCTGACTATTGCTCAACCTGGTATTCTGAGCTTAAGAGATCCTCCTGCCTCAGCCTCCCAGAGTGTAAAAGTGTCTTTTTGATATGGAAAGTTACATGTGGGCTAGAGCCCAGCAGAAATAATTGGAAATTAGTTCATAGTGAAACAAACAATGAATGAGATATGCTAAGAGAATAATGAGCAATTCCAGATAAGAGAATAAGCCTGTGTTTTGGGAATAAACCTGCAATTTTACAACAGTAGCCAATGATGAATTAGAAATAAAAATCTTAATTTGCAGTGGTCCCCTGCATAAACATTCAAAGATTCCCCAATTCAGTTAGAAATCAAAATTCTAGTACAAGATCTTCCATGTCTTATATGTTCCTGCCTAACTTCTCCACTGCATTTAGCATTATCCTTCTGCCAGGTTACTAAGTTCTACTCTGAAAGCCTGATTTCTCTGTCCATCTGGACTAAACTCTTTGCTGCTTCAGTGACTTTATACTAACTCACTCTTCCCCTGGTCTTTCACATGGCTGAGTCTTTTTGCTGTCAGCTCTCAGCCCAAGTATCACTTTCAAAGAAGGCCTTCTCATAACAAACCTTTATCCATAAGCCCCTCACTTTTTTCTACCCTCTCGGATTCCTATCATATCACTATTATAGCTTTTTTATAGAACTTGCCATAAACAGAAATTATCTTGTTAATTTTTGTTCTTATTTATTATAATAAGAGCTCCATGGTGAAAATGGCTATCTGGTTTAGATTAATAAACTCAGCAAGTGATATAACATCTCTAAGCCTCAGTTTCCTGAAGTATTAAATAGACGTTAAAAAATATACCTTAAAGATTTGTTACAAAGATTATATGAGATAGTACATGAGAAGCAATTAGCAAGATGGCTGGAACTCAAAAAGCATTTAATGAAAGGCAGCTGTTATTTCTGCTGGCATCATCATCATCATTATCATGATCCCAGGTCTTGTTCTCTATTCTATGTTGCCAGATATAAGGGAAACAAACACAAGAACTTAGAGTTGAAAGAGAAATACTGACAAGAAAATATTATCAGTTATCTGTTGCTCCATAACAGATCACTTCAAAACTCAGTGTCCTAAAACCATCATTTCTTTATGCTTAGGCAGTATGTCAGGAAATAGAAATGGGCTTAATGAGACAATTTTCTCTGCTACACTGTGCCTGGGACTTTATGTGGGAAGACTTGAAGCCTGGGATCATTCAACATCTGGGACTAGAATCATTTGGAGGCATCTTCCCTTACATGTCTGGCCTAGATGATGGTTGTTAGCTGGAACATCTCCTGGATATTGGTCAGAACACCTCCATTTTGATCTCCATGCAATCTCTCAGTGTGGGCAAATTTGAGTTGCCTCATAAGAATATACTCTGAGTATTCCATGGTATACATATACCATATTTTGCTAATCCACTCATGAATTGATAGGCATTTGAGTTGATTCCACATCTTTACCATTATGAATTGTGCTGTAATAAACATTTGAATGCAGGTGTCATTTTGATAAAATGACTATTTTTCCTTTGGGTAAATACCCAGTGGTGGGGTTGCTGGACTATATGGTAGTTCTAATGTTAGTTCTTTGAGGAATCTCCATACTGTTTTTCATAAAGGTTGTACTAGTTTGCAGTCCCCTCAAGAGGGTATAAGTGTTCCTTTCTCTTTGCATCTGTGCCAGCATCTATTGTTTTTGTACTTTTTAATGAAAGTCATTCTGACTGGGGTCAGCTGATGTCTCATTGTGATTTTGATTTTCATTTCCCTGATGATTAGTGGCACTGAGCATTTTTTTAATGTGTTTATTGGCCATTTGTTTTTTCTTTTTTTGAGAAGCTTCTGTTCATGTCTTTTGCCTAAGACAATATTTTCTTAGCTATGACACTAAAATCATAAATAACACATGAAAAAATAGATAGATGGGACTTTACCAAAATCAAAACTGCCTGAAAGTTTTTAAGACTCTACTTTTGGATCAACCTGCTCTCATGTTATAGTCCTCCAAGATTTCAATAAAAACCTCTATTTTTCCTTATTAAAAATGTTAGTAGACTGATTTTTAGAGCAAGAGTTCAAGACAAATCTGAAGTGATAAAATGTCACTTTCCTGTACTTTATTGAGACAGACACAAATGTTCCTCCTAGATTCAATAAGTAGGGTTACTGGTTCTTACTAATACCTGGGACAATTTTCAAGATTATATTAAAGCATGCAGGTGGATTAAACTGCTGTGTCCACCTTTGGAAGATATAATTTATTGCAAAACCCACTATTTATAGTTTAGCTTGACAAATTTGAGAAAGGAGCAGAGAAAAGGAATATTCAGCCTCAATTGCCTATTTTCCCTGACTTGCACATGCTACTTCTTCTATCAGAAGTGTCCATTTCCCCAGAGTCTTGATGTTTAATTCCCAGTATTTCTTTAAAACAGCAGTGGTATCATGTCCTCTCTCTCTCATGTGCCTTCAACGCCTGCCTAAATTTTTCAAGTTGGGTATATGGGAATATCATTAAATAAAAAAAATGTAGTAAAACAGAAAACAAGACAAGTTTGAAGGAGGGATGATTAAAATGTTGTGATTGTGTTTAAGTAGCTGGGGATATTTTGATGTAGGCAAAGGAAATATTTTGTAGGTAGTGCAAAATCAGGTATTTTTTTGACTACATTATTGTAGAGTTCTGAGGCCCTATTTGTGAGTGTAGGTGTAAGAGATTGTTGGAGAAGGGATTTACACAATGTGCAGTTCAGCAGAGAAGAGGAGGCTTTGGGGAAAATATTTGGGACTAGTATGGCTGATCAGAAATGTCTGAAAAGTAGATACTTATACATAGTCACCTTGTATTCTGAGTGTTTTCTACAAGAGAGGAATAAAGAGGGAAAAAAGAGCCTTTGGGAACAAAGACAAAGAGAGGAAGGTGGCCAATGAATGAGTGTGCTTAGATAATACTGATTAAGTTTTAAAGTCATTGTTTTATGGGACATAGGGGAAATATGGACAGAAGTTTGTGATTTTGTCAACACTTATCAATCTCCTTTTCTTCTCTCCTCTCGTTTTCTGAGCTTAAACTATCCGTAGTGGTAGCTACTGAATTGTTATTTCTCCCTTTCTCTATGTTTACCTTTTACTATTTTTTAGAGGTATTTTATTAGATTTCTCTCCATATATTTGACTGCTTTTGGGAAATGTGCCATAGAAAGCATCTGTCACAAGGGCCAATCCATTGCTTTGGAGTATGTTTAAAAAGTAGTCAAATAGTCAATTTGCTGTTCTGTAATGTGCCTCATAGGCAGAAATACTTTTGTTCTGTGGACTAGCAATGTAGTCTCATCACAGTACTAATCTTTGGTTGGTTGTTTTCCATTTATAGGGCTGGGTCGAACATCCTCAAGATTTACTAAAACAAAGTGAAATTTTGGGACATAAGGATGAGCTAGATTGGTTGCTTGACTAACTCAGGTTTGAGGCACCTAAGGCCTCTTAGATATATAGAACATCTGGGAGAACTGCGTTGAACCAATTAAGACCTGGGTTGAATAAGTATTCAATCACAGGTCATACATTATTTTGTTTCTTACTACATTACTACCAGTAATGTTCTCAGTACTAAAATGAAAGAAAGAGAAAGAGCAAGAGAAAGGGAGTAAGAGTTCATGTGAAAGAAGTATAGATTAAAGCCAATTGAGCTGAATAAAATAACCATATAAGCATTGAGATTATTTATAATGATAAAAATTTAAACCAATTAAATATTAGATAATAGGAGAATGTTAAAATAAAAGATGGTGCACACACATGTACACACACCCACATATATACACCCCTATGTTTGCAACCAAAAAGAAATGTTAGGTGATATAGAAAAATGATCATATTATTTCATGGCAATGCAAACAAAAGCATACAGTGTAATTCAAATGCCATGAAAATATATGCATGGGGGGGACCTTTGGAAATAAATATAATGAGATTCATTAAAATATAGAGCAGATATTACTGTTCAGCAGAAAGACAGATTATTTCAATGTTTGTCTTCCCTCTTTTCCATATATTTTAAAGTTCTAATTACCTATATTTTTATTAGCAATTAAGTGAAAGCTCTATTTACAAACATGGCAATGGTCATATTTCATGATAGGACCATGAAAGAGCCATGTTCTAAAGGTTCCTAAAAAGACAAAACTAAGACTAATAGGTGGATGCATTTTTCAAACTCAATTGGCTTAAGAATTGCAGTTATTCTCAAAAACTGGAGCTGGAATACCCAAGATTCTAAAAATAAAAATGCTTTGGTGATGAATGAATTGATATTGAAAAGGTTTGTGGTTTGATTCAAGCCTACAGTTAAGAATAAAAATAACACAACCTTATAGTCTTGAGATACCTTGATTTTAAGGAACAAGCATGTCAGTTCTTCCCAGTGCTTGTAATCTAACTGGAAAGGTCAAATAACTTTAAAGTGTAAGTAGGGTTTCCAAGTTATTTTTCATTGCATATTTTAAAATGAGATTTATTTATGTACCTTTTTTAATATCTCAGAAGAAAACTGATAAATTCTAACAATATCAATGCTATTGAGACATTTCCAACTCAGACAAGATTAGGGAATAGTGAAAATGTCAAAGGAGGAGAGGTATTATTTAATTGTATAGATAATTACTTAATGCAGCCAAAAGAATCTGAATATATACTTTGGGCCAGACATATATCTTAAATGATACAGAAAAAATTAGAAGAGGGGAGAGGGAACAAGTATCAGGGTTTTTTGTTATTATTAGCATT